CACATATAGGTAAAAAGAGCCCTTATCCTTATCTTGTATTCATTCTTCTTATTAGGTAGTGCTCTAAGAAAATTTGTTGCAAATTTTTTAACCATCTTGATATATGGTCAGTGTTATCAAAGGCGTGCTTCGCCTCGCTTTATGTGCACTTCAGTGTCGTTATCAAAGTTTTAATACAAATTTTTCCTTGTTAATGAGCCTCTTATGAAGAAGTGAGACTAAACAATTGATATTTCATTTTATCATAATTTTTTTTCAATTTCTTTAGTCATATGTATTTGTCATTCATGTTTATATTATTAGTCTTGAGATTTTTTTTTCTCCCTTTCCGCTTTTTTTCATTGAAGCCCACGTTTTATTTGCGCTTTGCGCATAAAGCCTCCATGAACCTTTGAACTTTTTTGCGCTTTTCGCTTTTAACAACATTGTATATGGTTTAGGAGAATGAGAGGGATAGAACATTCTTCCAAGATATGATAGGTATGCATATGATAGCTGTATTAAATCTTTGTTGTAAAGAGTTAATATCATGGTATGTAGATCATTTGGATAGCTTGTTATATAAAGACTGGTCGAGCTACTCGTGCAAATTATAAATAGTTTAGACATCATGTTGGTCTGATATTTAATGACACGATCTTGACTTGAAAAAAAGCATCTTGATCTTTTTATGATCTTCATAATGATAATGGCATCTTGTTAAAAAGCATCTAAGTGTTAGTTTGGTTAATAAATTGACTAGCCAAAGTTAGTCTTGTTTAGATTTTCTGTTGCAATATTATGGCCTCTGTTGGTAAACTGCTATGGCAACTAGCTGTGAAGGAAGATGTGTTACGGATCAGGTGGGTGCATGGAGGATATATGAAAAACAATGATAACATATGGATACATACCCCACCATTGAACTCAAGTTGGTAAGGTTTATACCTTGAAATCATGATGCAGGCATGGTATTCATCTGGTGTTGACTTGCTCACTCCTGGGGGGAAGTACTCGCTCACACAGAGTTACAATACACTATTGGGGCAACATGCTAGACTTAGAGTGTCTAACTTAATCCGGACTATTTGCTCAGCCTAAGCACAGCTTCATATTGTAGCTAGCTATTCAAGACAAATTACTAACCAAAGAGAGACTCAAGAGATCAAATATTCCAGTGGAGGGTGACACTGCTGCTTGTGTGATATATCACTGGGGGAGACTAATATCCATCTGTTTTCTACTTGTGAATGGATGGTGAGAGTTCAAACTGAAATTCAGCAATGGTTTGGGACACTTACTCCCACTGAAAGTGTCAAACATATCCTGAATAGAATCAGAAGGAAGCATTGACAGCAATTTCTCAAGGAACTTATTGCTGCATTGTGTGGAGCAGTGATATAACGGATTCGGAGAGCAAGGAACTGGAAACTGTTTAAAGGCATTACTGTAAATACAGATACAGCCGTGACATAGATTATGAAGGAATTTGTATATAGACTTGAGGTAGTTAAACTGTCTAGAAAGGCAAATAGATATAGCTGGTTGTTGCTTAGATTTTGTGTAACTAGATCTCTGTAGGAGGCTTAACTCTTTCTTAGAAGGTGATTAGGAGATTGAGTGCTCTTTAGGTGTATTTTTTTGTGCTTTGTGAGAAATATAGGAAAAGAATATTATTGAATTGTTGTTGTGTCTATATTATTACACAAGACCCTATTTATAGACCATAGATTACAATCCTTTATCAAGTAGGATACTATTTAGTATTCCTATTCCTATTCTAATTGGATTGTATAAACATATTCCTATTTTATAGGATTGTATAAACCTATTCCTATTCTAATAGGATCGTATAAACCTATTCCTATTTCAATAGGATTATATAAACCTATTCCTATTCTAACATGCTTGTTGGTGGTAATTTACACTGGTTACCCCAAAAAAAAAAAGCATGATGGTCAGATGTTGTTATCCAGTAAAGTTGACCGTGTTATAAGAAGTAGCAATTGATCTGACATTTCTTGCGGAAGTTCTCAATCATGTTGACTTCAAAGGATTGCTTCTAATTTTCTGTTATATTAAATTCCTTGCCTGAGTATCATGCCTTTCTTCAATGGCTTTTTCATGCTTAAACCTTGAAGCTTGCTTCATTCCGTTATTCTCTAAATTGATGCAGGCTTGGAGGTGATGCAACTTCTCTCCTGCTTGAATGTTAGCTACAATAAACTCTGCAGTTTTACTGCATTGGAGCCTTTGAAACTGCTAAGGTCACTGAAAGTCTTAGATATCTCTTACAACGAGATTGGAGCGCATTCTATTGACACGAGGAGGTATTTGTGCTCTTCCCCTCTTAACCATAGAAGTGGAGGTGACTGGAAAACTGAGGAATCTGAGATCCATTGCGTTGAGGTGGCTGATAATTGGGAAGCCTATGCTATTTTTAAAGACTTGAACTTGATACAATTAGATCTTAAAGGAAATGCAGTTTCCGATGAAAAGATACAATCACTTCTAATTAAGCTATTACCATCACTAAAGTGGCTTGATGGTGAAAGTTGCCGATAATTAAAAGTTACATCTCCGTCACTGTTACTGAATTTCTCTACAGAACAGACAAGGGTAATCTTTTGTTACTATTATGAATTTTAGATATCTGATGCACGGAACTGTTTTTGTACCATGTAGTTGTTGCAAGACTTGCTTGTAATTGTTTGGCTTTTTCAGATGATCTCTATTTATCAGCACCTAAACAGAGATTTTGTTTTTCTGAGAGTTGCTACCAAATTTATCTTAAGTGTTAAAGCATTTCTTCCGTTATATTGTTCAACCATCATGTCATTCAAATATATATGAATTATCATACAGGGAAAAAAACATTACATGCACTTTCTTTTATTTATATTTCATAGAATTTGATGCTTTCACTTTCAAAATATATATGATTGCATAAATCTAAGCTCTGTGTGCCAGAGACAACTGAGGTACTCAGATGTCTAGTAATCCCAAAAAGAAGCCCAGGTATTGGACTGAAAATGGCTTGAGATTTTCATTTTCATTTTCAGTAGTACTAATGTACAGAGGATGATTTAGAATGTGTATAAGCCAAAGATTCAAGAATACAATGAAGAGACTGATCGAGTTAACGCAACCCAGAAAAGCAGTGACATAATAGTGGAAGGGGCAGTTTGCAATGGCGCGAGGTATCTGAATTGCAACATCTTAGCAATGCAGAAATTCAGGTATTTGATAATTAAGGTAATGATACTTCCAGATAGCCATGGAAGTAGCTCATTTTCAGCTTCATCTCTTAGCACTAACTTTATCTTCTCAGGAACCAAATTCAAGTATAATTTAGCAGTAATATTTAGTAGCACTGCTAGAATCATGATATACCAAATTGCCTTGTTCATGCTGTTGAGTACCCTAGATACTTGTACTTTTGACTCCATTCTTGGTTTTAAAAAGGCTGTTGTTTACTTTACTTTTCTTACTCCGAGTAGGTTGAAAAAGCTGCTAAGAAGAATAGTTTTCTTTTCTCTTGCGTTCCGTTTTGTTGTCTGATAGGATGGTGGACAGAAGACTATTTATAGGGAACTTTTTGTTTAGAGAAGTGTCAAGCAAGCTAATTCCTTGGTCAACAATCCCATGATCAAAGGTTATAAAGATTCTCTATTTTTGAAAAAAAAAAAAAATCCTCCCGAACTTCCTTAATCCCTGTTAAATAAATTGTCAAACTTGAATATTGACACCTATGATGGGGTTGAAGAGTGGTGATAATTAATTGATTATTGTGTGTTTGGTACGACGATAAGTTATTTTTTTTTGAAAAAAATATTTTCCTTCCATTGTCTTTTAGTGTTTGGTTGGTTGTTGAGTTATTAGAATTTTGATCTTTATATTAAAATTTGATATAGTAGTGATGAACTAGATAGTGTTTTAAAGAAGTTTTTTGAATTTTTAAAGATTGGTGACAACTGATAAGGGTATAATATATGATCCTTAACTTGGTTTTATCATATTCGTATAGTTTTTGAATATCTAATTTTTTTTAAAAAAATATTAAATTAATGTATTCTAATTTAGCTTTGAAAATAGTCTGATTGACTTTCAAAAAACGTAACATTTTTTAACCTACATAAAATTTATTTAAAAAGATTTGACAAAATGGAGATATAAATCATTGGCCTTGCAGAGCACGGGGTCAACTCTTTGGGTACTTGTTCAAGACCTTGGGGAATACGTCTCCAATCTCTCAGCAATTAATATAATTATTTATGCTCAAATAGTTTCTTTAAATGGAGCCAACATTTTATTTTATTATATTGAAAAAAGGTGAGTCCTACAAAAATAAAATAAAAATTATTATACTATTGATAGGTAATTAATCATAGACACAGACACTTAAAATTTAAATGATTTAAATTTAAAGGGATAAAAATATTCAATAGATATAAGCTTGAATTTAAGTGCCTAAGTGAATTATGCGGATAATTTTAAGCGTATGTCAATGACTTAAAGCCATTTGAAGACGAGTAATATTGAAAATTGAGCTACCTATAGGGACATTATGATGAATGCTTTTAACATGACATTCCACAATTTAATAGGAGTAACATAGAGACAAAATTATACTGGATCCTTTGAGCTATGGTTCTATAAAATTTCAATTCTATGAAATTGAAAATAGCCGCAGAACTTTCTAATTTGAAATAATTCCAATTCTCTAAATTTAGAATTAACTGAAAACCAAAATTTTTGTTCGTCTTATTTCTTAACCAAAGTTCATAAATTGAAGAATTTTCTCAAACTTGTTTTAAACTCTTTCACCAAACACTGCAAGAGCTGCAACTATCCAACATGTTTCATCAAAGCAAGTTGAAAGTAGAAATATACCACATATTAAATAGTGGATAAGAAATAGCGTCAACGTAGCTAATACTAGCATTATTCAACACTATTCTTATTCATCCCATCAAACGACTCTTAAAATATCAAAAGAAGCATAAAAGTTTCATGGAGAATTAGGACAGATGAAGTTTCTCCTTGCACAGTTCAATGCAGCTATGAACCTTAGCATAATATGTCGTGCGCCAGTTCTTACTAAGAAGAAGAGGAGCAATGACACTCCAAAATCCCAAAACATAAGCAACAGCTATGCATGAGAAGAAAAAGAAGTCACTCTCACCAATTCCTTGCTTCTCGCCTTCTTCTTCTTTTTCTTCTTCTTCATGCTGCTGAGGAGGGCTCAAGAACACACAATCATTTTCCAGTGGCGGTCCACAGAGTTCCTTGTTACCTCTATAACTAGATGCTTCAAAGGTGACAAATTTATGTTCAAATGGGATTCTTCCTGACAGACGGTTGAAAGCCAAATTTAAAGTTGAAAGTGAATCAAGTCGAGTCATCTGAGGAGGGATTTTTCCAATGAGATGGTTAGAAGAAAGATCCAAACTCTCCAGTTGCTTTAAGTTCATGAAAGATTCCGGAATATGACCAGACAGGACGTTGTGCGAGAGGTTTAATGAACGGAGAGCTGCTAGTTGTCCTAGTTGTGATGGAATTTCACTATTGAAATGGTTCATAGATAGATCAAGTATAGTCATTTGAGAAAGAGGAATGCCTTCATAAGAGAGTTCATTCCCCTTGGTTGTTAAAGGAACTTTGACCCTGTAGTTAGCATATGAAGGAGACAACCACATGAAGGCTGGGAGTAGAACTTGAGATTCTTTCGTCCACGCGGTTATGTTACCGAGGCAAGAAGGTAAAACCCCAGAGAGTAAATTTGCTGACATGTCCAAAACATGAAGCTTTTGCATCTGGCACAAAGACACTGGAATAATCCCATGAAACTGGTTTCTTGCCAAGATAAGTATGGCTAGATGTGGAAAGAGAGGAAAATAATCTGGAACATTCCCTGATAAATTATTCCCACTAATGTCCATGACCTTCAGAACAGGAAGGTTAAACATAGAAGCAGGGAGGACTCCAATAAATCCATCATTTTGAAGAAGCAAGTATGCAAGATTTGACATATTTGAAAATCGGGGCATAACCTCCCCATGAAAGTAGTTGTTTGAAAGAACTAAATGTGCCAATGAAGTGTGGTTCTGTCTTAAAGCTGGAGGAAGTTTTCCCTGTAGGAAGTTGTGAGAAAGGTCTAGAACCTCTAACTTTAACAGATTGTCAAAAGATGAAGGAAGGGTGCCTTCGAGGGCGTTATTCGACAGGTTAAGATAGAATAAGTCTGGAAATGATGCGAGCACGTTAGTGGGAAGTGTACTGGCCAAGCAATTATCTGATACATCAAGCATCAGAAGACTTGATGCTTGAATCTGAGAAGACGCAGGAATTCCACCATTCAAACGGTTGCTTCTCAAAGATAACATAAGAAGTGTATTATTATACAACAACCAGGACGGAAAGCTCCCTTGAAGGGCATTATAGGACAAAGACAGGGACTTCAACTTGTGTTGTTTGGAGATGAACGTGGGAATTACATGGCCATGGTTCTGGTTTAGTCTAGTATTTCGTAGGTCAAGGAACACAAGTTAAAAAGATGGAACCCAAGATGGAGTTTCAGTGTCAACTTCAAACTCATTATTTGTAAGATCAATGTCTTCAAGATTGGAGAGGTTTGCAAATGATGCAAACAATAGAAGTCCATCAAACCTGTTATCTGAAAGACGAAGGGTCTCGAGCAAAGTCAGGTTGCTGAATATGGAAGAAGAAATAGTCCCCTCAAAATGATTGAAAGAAAGATCTAAAGAAACCAAGGAAGTCATTCCACCAAGGCATGGATCAAGTCCACCTTGTATAAGGTTATCCTGAAGATTTAACACCTGCAGGTTCCTAAGTTTACAGATTCCTGAAAAGAGTAACAAGTAGTTAGCAACATGATCAGTAAAATTAAAGTTGCATAATGTTCAATCTACAATCTGAAAAACAGGGAATCAGCAACCCAACTTTACTAGACAAAACACATATAAATTACAAAGTAACCAGATTCAGAGAGTCTAACAGAGAATCAAGAGAAAACCAAGTGGAAACCTATTTTTCAATCTAAGAAAGCTCCAGAATATCTTATCGAGGACATCATGTTATAATCATAGAATCAAGAGAACCATGTCTCACGAATAGCATATAGACTTTAATTGGAGATGCATTCTCAGTGACTTCAAGTTCAAAATTGAACTGATAGCTACAAAGAATTGAAAGAAATTTCGTAACATCAGCATTACCTGAAAAGAAACCAGGAAAGCCCCTGATATTGTTATGTGAAATATCCAGACTTTCAAGCACTGAGAGTTTTTCAAAGAGACAGGTCGGTATGCTTCCATCATCAAGAAAGTTATCGCTCAGATCCAACCTTTTGAGATTCCGCAGTGTACATAAAGCTGCAAGAAATATATGAAGCAACAAAAGGGCTGTTTTTTGTCAAGTTCATTAATCAGAGTAGAAAATGAGTTTCGTGTACATAGAAACAACCTGAAAACTCAACTCCAGGGGATCAATAATTCATGCTGCTATCTTATACGGGTGCAAAGATTGTTAGGGGAAACTGGAAAAAGCTACAGACTAGAACTTCATTCAGACCATGTTCTTTATCGAAAAAAAATTCTTCAGATATCTACAGATGCAAGGTCACAGTTGGAATAAACAAATCAAGAAAATAGTTCCTCTGTGCAATCTTCATCTAATGGCTTCCTTCATGGTGACATTTGTTTCATTTTAGAGAAGCTATTTTTAGATAATGAGAATCATACCATTAACTTAAAATTATAGTCAGTTTTTATGTGTTTCATGTAGATTCAATACCAATGGTTTGACGACAGCATTTGGCCGAGAAGATGGTAGTTGAGTAGAGCAGAAGAGAGGGTCCACCACCAATTCACAGTTTTTTAAGCTGGAGGAAACCATTACAACGAGAAAAACATAGTATCCAGAGTAATCACACGAGGGTAGAGTGTATGCAAGCCTTACCCCCACCTACCTCAGAGGTAGAAGGTTGTTTCCGCTAAACCCTCGGCTAAATGAGAAAATCACTAATACATGGAAATACTAAATTGTAAACGATATTCTAACGTTAGGAAAATGAATATAGTAATGACAATATGCACAAGATCATGTATGTGACAATAGAAATTAATCCAACTTTACCTGATAGAATGTGATGGGAATTCTTAAGGTTATTCCCAGACAAGTCTAGGCTTTCAAGGTATGAAAGATCATCAAACAGGCAATGTGGCATGCTATCATCTGTAAGATTGTTGTTGCTTAGATCTAGTTTCCGCATATTCTTTAGTCCGCACAATGCTACATCAATTCAGCAAAACGAGCTAATATCAAAACCAAGATAGAAACTTTGATGGACCACTATGACTGATGAAAATTCGACAACTGAGAAAACAAACCTCTGAGCAGTGGTAAAGGGAAACTAGGATAAATCCCTGATAGGTGCAGCTGTTCCAGAGATGCGAGGCTACATACTTGAAAATGAGGCAGAGCATCGCCATTTAAAGGGTTGAAACTTAGATCCAATTCCTTCAGGTTGCGCAATTTGCATAATGCTGCAAGTATAAGTTGTTAAAAAGTAATACTCCAAAACATGCAACTACATGAAGAAAGGAGATCAGGGTCATCGGTGCAGAATCCATTCCAAAAAAAGCAGCAAATCTTAAAGCTCTAAGGATTCAAGAAAAGTAATAATTGTGTTTAACAGATATTAACAGCAGTTAGAGTTTGTACAGATTATACTACTAAATACTGAGGGAGGTAAGTTGTTGCACTTGCAGGTTTGATAAACATGGATACAGGTAATGGAAGAACATTTTGATGAAAAGAATACCTTCTGGCATGATCCAGTTGCCAATAGCGTTGCCAGATAAATAAAGAGACTGGAGATGCGTGAAACGAGTCAACAAGTTTGCATCAGGATACCATATTCCAAGTCCAAGTTCCCTTTTACTGGTAAGAATAATATCAAGAACATGTACATCATTATTTAGATCCCTGATGCAAGAAACAGCAGCCCACGCACAATAATTTTCTTCAACCCATTCATTGATTAGCGTAGATCCATTGGGATAGTTAAGGGAGTCCCTCAGCTCCAAAAGTGCCCTCTTTTCCTCCTCTACTAATTTACCACTGCAACCTATGAAATTCAAGCACATCAGTATACAACATGTCCAAAAGATAGGACACGAAACCCCAGCCATACTGCTGATAAATATCTATTCAGCAATGAGTCATTTGCTGAGTCACTAGATAATGCCTTTTGTTACAAGAATTTTCACATACTCACTCACAGTCATGAGTCAACACCAAATTAGAAATTTTAAGTTGCCTTAAGATCATAGACCACAGGCTCTTCATCAGTAAATGAACATTAGCTGTATCCCATGATGTGTCATAATTTGTGTGAAAACTAACCTTCTCATTTAGACTTTTTATTTTAAGATATACCAAGTCAAGCTTGACTTTGTCCAACAAATTCTGCCGCCTTGCACAATCTTGATGATGACTTCTAACATTTCCTATTAACTGAGACTTGGGCAGGCAAATCAAAAGAAATCATCTAGTGTTATTTTACCTCCGGTGAACATCCGAACGGTTATCTCCCAGCATTTTTTTCCAGATTCATTAGCTACTAGATATCACACATTTTGGTCCAATTACCAATCCTACCATCTCAAACTCTAATACTGATCATGATCTTACAAAAGAATGCCAAAACTATATGCCTACAGGCTCAAATTTTTAAACTAAATCTTATATTCTTCAAAGTTTCAAGGGTATGATGTGCGTACATCCTATCAGTATCCTCACTAGACCCCACTTGTGATTGAATATTTTGTTGGTTCATCATGTAAGTTATTGCTTTGTGCTGAAGATTTTGTGATGCATCATCACCTCTGAAGTTAATCATTGTTAATATAAATATAAGGATATAACTATAAATTCTCCAAATGTTTAATTTTAGCGTGAATAATAACTGCCTTTATATTGAACTACGTAGTGAACAAAACAACAAAATGAAACAAACAATTAGAGATCAAGACTCGGAATTCAAACGGTCAAGTGCTTCTCGAGCAGGCGCAAAATTTGGCTGAACCTTTTGAGCTTCCTGATAAGCCTTTCTTGCCTCTTCCTTCAAGCCTTTTTTCTCGTAACAATCGCCCAACAAGCAAAAAGCCTTCACATTATCGCCCTTCAACCTAACAGACTGACTCAAATCCTCAATCACCGAGTCAACTTGTTCCGCAGCCAGTCTCAACTGCGCCCGCTTAAACAAGGCATCCGCTTTCTCCGGCTCCGACAACGACTTCACGGCTAGCGGCGAAAGCGCGACGTCAATGGAATCAAGAGCCGACGTCTTAAACCCCTGTAAATCAAGAGCTAAAGCCTTGAGTATGTGAGCTGCAGCATCTTTCGGGTCTAAAGCTATAGCCAAATCGGCTTGAGCTTCAGCAGATTTAGCAAGAGAAGTAGACTTCGATCGATCCTTAGCTGCTGCTGATTTAGCTTGAGAAAGAAGTTGAGCTCCTTGAACAAAATGACGCTTCGATTGCATATCGGCCCGGTTCCGGAGACGAAGCTTCGAGAAGTACTTCTGGGGAACGTTGTACATGAAAAGGAACATGAAGATTGTTACGAGAATTAAGACTGCTTGAAGAAGAAGATCACGCCACATGTGATTATCGGAGAAAAAATCCATGGCGATTTTCGTTTTCTGGGTTTCTCTGAGAATTTTTCGATTTGGTGTTCAACTTTTAGCGTTTATCAGTCCATCGAAGTATAAAAGTTTACACCAAACTTTTTTGGTTATTATTAATGTGCGTCAATAAAATATTATACTATTTTTCTTTTATTTTATATGTTTTCTTTAAATTTTAAGAGTAAAATAAATTTATTTTTATCGTAAAATTTTTGTAAATTTTATAGATATTTTTGAATTATCAATTATTATTATTCGTAGTACTTTTTACGTAATTTATAAATATATAAATTTCTTTTCAAAAAAATATAAAATTTTACGCGTAAATTTTCAGTCAAATTTAAATTATTTTAACTTTCAAAATATAAAATATATCGTATAAATTGAGAAAGATAAAGAGAGATATTTTTAAAAACATTAAATATATATATATATATATATATATATATATATATATATATATATTCCAATAATTGCACCACAAGTCTACGACTCTTGTTGTAACCTTCTAATTGTTAATATCGTGATGATTTTCTATATATTAATGGAAATATATTTGAACTTCGATAGAAATTATTGTATCGATATCAAATTTTGAAAATAATCTTTTAACCTTTTGGATTATTTAATAGTGTATTTTAAAAGTACATATGTGTCGATGTTGACATCATTTATATTTTCTAATTATAAATAGTAACATGTTCACGTGGATTAGTACAGAGGGTAAAAAGTGTTTCATAAAATTTGATATCGTAATAGCAATTTCGATCAAAATTGAAATATTTTTCTAACTCTTTTCCCTATATTAATTATACATAGAATAATATCAAATAAAGTGTGTGATTAATACTTATAGAAGTTATACATAGATTGAAAAAACATACTAAAGAGAAAAATAATAATACAAATTTAATACCTGCATTATTTTCTAACATCTTCTATCAAAAATACTCTTGATTACTCAATTTTCACTTGTAAATCTCATTGCTAACTTGTAAACTATTTATCAGAAACAGAACATTTAAAAGCCTCTGTAATTAATTTATTTAGATATTTTAAGTAGTTTAATAGTTTTTAAATTAAAAAACTAAATTCTTAATTTAAGTTAAATAATTTAAAAAGTTGAAAAGAAAAAAGGAAGAAGTTAAGTTTAACCAAAGAGACTCTAAATAGTGTTCGCTAGACGTGTTCATAAATCGCGTAATTTTGAGATACTAATGAATGTGTGTGTATGTGGATGCAGGGTTGGTAAATTTATGGATAATGCGCAAATACCCCTAAATCTATATCTAAAATTTAAGAGACACACTTATACTATATTAAGGTCATATTACCCCATGAACTTATTTTATAAGTAATTTTCTACCCTTTTTGGCTTACGTGGCACTAGCTTGAAAAAAAAAATCAACCAACGCTGGATCCACGTGATAGTGTCACGTAAGCCGAAAAGGAATAAAAAATGATTGATAAATAAGTTCAGTAGAATAAATCGAGGAAGTACTTGTGCATTATCCTAATAGTATATAATAATCATTGAACATATAATATCATACGCTATGATACAATGTATAATAACAGAGGGTTAGTTACTCCAGTTCATTACTAATATCCAGTTACTCAATTCACGAAAAATTGTTGTACTTCGAATTATTTTGTAAGCATTTAAACATAAACTTGATATCATGATTCGTGAATTTGAGTTTATATTTGAATATGCAATTTCAGTTTCAAAATTTTTTTGATATCTTTTTCCAATAAACGAGAAAAAATTGGAGTAACATCTTGTGTAGCATATTCACAAGTATCAACGGACAATCCACAAGAATATAAAGATAGATAAACCATAAATAACTGACATTTTCTATATTATTATTGCTGCAATTAGAATAAAGACTTCCCCGGATGCTACATAATCTTAGACTTCTACAGGGAATAAATACTTCTCCAAATACTACTACATAATTATAATTTCACATTTGTTGTTGACAAAGTTTTAGAGTAGTTTCTTGCAAGAAATTAAACAGCTTTAGAAATGCCTCTTTATCTATAACTGGAACTAACAGAGGCTTGTTATCATTCAAAAAGTTGAAGAGAGCCAACATATTTGCAGTTGTTGGGCAAAGTTTTACCGGATTTCGTCAGCGTTACGTAAACTATGTATCTTCGAACTATGATGAATTTATTCTTCTCCTAGATAAGTGGAGAGAGTATCTTAACTCTTCATTGTTCCTCCCATCTGAATCAACTGTAGTGGAGACTTGAGTAGTTTCTTTAATGTATCCACAATGCTAGCGAAGGATGGGCGTTGTACCGGGTCACTGAGAGAAAACGTGGAAGTATTAACTGACGAAAATAGAGAGAAGAGGTAGAGAATTCTTTGACATAATCGACAACACAAGTTGACTAGTAGAGATCGAGATGGAAAAAAACAGGATGCGGATGTCTACTTACTCATTCCAGCAGGCTTCCATTAGAGACGCCAACATTGGAGAAGTGTTCTGTGGAACAGTGAGCCTCCTGTTCTGGAAAGCTACAGCACCAACTACCTGAAAGCTCACAAATAACACGTCAAATACATCGTGTTTTTTGATATTTAAGTCCGGGAGAAATATGAGGTGTGGGGTGCAGCAGGGAAGAAGTAAACCTGCGCAGGGCTCAGTCCATTCCAAGGCTGTTGCATGGTGACAAGCTCCCATAATATTACACCAAAGCTATAGACATCAGACTTCTCATTTGAGGGTTCTCCACGGAGAAATTCGGGGGCCATCCATTCAGGCTGAAACAAAAAGCAAGAGAGTTACAGGCCTATTGAAAGACGTACAAAAAATTGCACAACCTGCAAAATGTAGAGTTCAAAAAAGATGTCTTTGTACTGCAATGGGAGTAGGTACATTGTCGATGACAGATATGTTTATCGAGTAGCAGGCGCAAACATTAGAGCAATTGCATTTCACTGACTATTGAAAGCAATTAGAGCAATATTTCCTATTAATGGGGAAAAGAGGATTCTGAAAATTAAAGAAGGCAATGCAAAAGGAAATATCAGAGATAGCACCTACTTAAGAAACCAAGAGACAAGAAGCTCTGTAAAATTCTTAACTATATGCATACTCTTCATATACTTTGCTAGCCGATTTTCACAGAAGAACGTGTTTTGTCTACATCAGAACTTCTACTAATAGATAATAAGACGCGGTTTTCCATATCAGAACCTGGCTAAAATGTAAATGTGATAGAAAGAAATGATTGTAATCTAGAAATTATCATGGCAAAAAAACAATAACTGCCTGTATCAGAGGCCCTACAGTATTCAATTCGCATGTTTTTGTAACCTTAATGGCTAAAAGACTTAGCATCTAAGATCAGTAAATGGAGCCAAGCAGCTCATAATTCTCTAGTTGCTCAAACTCGGACGCAGGTGACCAATTTGGGTACAGACCTAGAGATCTGATCCTCCACGAAATAAATTTAAAGATTCAGGAGTATGGATACAAGAAAGGATACAGGTACACGGTTTCAGCTAAAAATAATTCAATTTTCTAAGATATAGTAATTAAAAAATTCTTAAATCATGGACGACTATCTAGAAGGAAAGGAATGCACGGATTTTTGAGATCAAGTTTAAATATGTAATTATTATTAAGTACAGATGCATCTCTTTACTGTTTTTTGGTGTAACGTGTGACTATTGCAAACGATATAGAGGCCATGATAGACTTGTTGAGTTCATTGGACACTCAATGGTATCAAGCCTGTAAATATCTTTAGAGAACCTTCTTATTACGGGCTTTTTTAGCACAAATATCTTTTAAAGATAAAAGAACATATGCCAAGATTGTCTCTGTCTCGAATTCTCGGTTGATTTTGGTCGAAAGTACCCAAAATCCATTGACCATATCATTATGGATACCACACCCATGTCATGCCGACACACGTGCAGCACCAGAAGTGAAGAGTTCACACAAATTAGCTGCTCATTCTAAATGTCTACGGCAAGGTGAAGGACAAGCATCTCGGCGCAACTATTTCCTTGCTCATTATTATTTGGCACAAGATACATATGCAACTTTTTCTTGCATATTAAAGATAGTTTGTTTGTGTTAGGAGGTACTTACAGTTCCAGCAACTGATTTTGATGATATGAACGTATTAGCTTTAAATCTTGAGAGACCAAAATCACACACCTGGAAGAAACATTTCAGAATATCAAAACTGCAAAATTCAACTTTTGACTCGAAGGTAAGTAGGCAACAGTTTACCTTTACGTTCCAATTTTTATCAACCAACAAGTTAGGAGATTTCAGATCCCAATGCACAATGGGTGGGCTCAGACAATGAAGATAGTTGATACCCTTGGCCTGTATTTTAAGCGAATCAGAAACTTTTATAGGTGAAAGCATCAAAAGTATGAAACTGAGAAATTGTGAAATTGACACAAACCACATCCAGAGCCATACGGATACGTCTCCTCTGGTCCAACAACTCCCCAGCAGCTGGTCTGTGTATCAGACGGTAGAGGCTTCCTCTATCCTCGTCATCAAGGCACAGAAACTTAGGCCCCTCAAGTACTTGAAGTTAGAAAGGAAGAATGTTATGCAGCCACTGAAACAAAAGTTACCTGGGCAAATATTCAGTCACAATTGATAGATGAGGGCGTTTGGTAACAGCCCCCATGAACAACACCACATTTGGATGACGGACGCGTTTCATGATTGCAACCTTCAGAAACATGAATACTGAGCTACCATCCAATGATAGATACCAATACAAGAATGTAAATAAAATGAAAATAAAAATGAAACAAAGGAGAAGGTGAAAGAATGCAGGATCACTCTATTCAATACAGGGAACCATCTTTTTACAAATCCATGAACTAGATTTCAGAATATTACAAGCATATATATAAACGCAATTCACAACAAATTGAGACTAGATTGCGAAATGCCAATTAAATTACAACAACTACGATTATATCTCAATCCCAATAGTTTGGTCAGATGCTGTGTATTAGATTAAACTAAACAAAAAGCAAAAGCACTATTTCTTTCTGTAGTTATGCCTTTTGTGCTTGCCCTCGTCATAGAGGGGAAACAAGAAAAAGCAGAGAAGGATCAGCTGTAGAAAGTAGTCTTATCTTTATCAGAAACCTAAAACTTTTTATTGTAGCTAGCATACAACAGTTCCACCAATAATTATATGCACTCACCTCCCTTAAAAACTCCTTCAACTGATCATCATGAAAATCCTGGACAGTAAGCAGCTTGACTGCAACATCCTGCAGTTATTAGTTCCATACTCGATCAGTCCGGAAAAAAAAGAAGGCACACACTATTTCCGATACTAAAAATAGTTTCCACAAAGCATCTTTTAAAAATATATGGAACTTCAACTTCATGCATGTGTTGCCAATCCTTTTTCCCCCTAGTAATACATTCAAGCTAAGAGGAAATGTCTAATCTAGAAACACAAAGTAAGAGCAAATTGGACTACCTCATACGGCGAAGTTTAGTCAATAATGAGATACCACTAGCATCATCAAGCAATGATCTGAACATTACAATTCTATTGAGATGGAGTTATACAAATGTCTTATTTCAATGTGATTTACATAATTGCCTCAACAATTGACACAACATCATCCCTACACCTTTGATAAGTAATGCAGTCAATACAGGTACAAACATGCAAAATGATTATTATATTTTTTAGGTTTGAACAGAATCTTCTAATCTTCTAAATTATCATCATGATTACTATTGCGACAACACAAAATAAATAACACTCACCGATCCATTCCATTCAGCACGATGTACTGTTCCAAATGAACCTGCATGAAAGAAGAGTAGTACATCAAGATACACTGATGTCAAACAGGATTCAATAACTGAGGATTAATTTACAGCCAGTTCATATTTATTGACAAACACGCACCAGCTCCTACACGCTCTTTTATATGTAATTCATCCCATGAGATCTCAAGCCAGTCCATTGCAAGAAAAGGTTCAAGATGCAGATATCTTGGATTTGTTGTTGTCGGATGTTTCTCACGGTTCCCAGTTCTACCTCCAGGCTCCATTACATCCATTTTGCCTATTAAAGTAGATTTTGGCGGTCTGCCAGATTGCAATGGTGAATTTTTGGACAGAACAACCTCCTTCTTGTAAGTCTGCCTGATAATAATTTTGTCTTCTCTAGGTCTAGAATTCTCATCTCCTGCTGTTTCAGCCGCAACAAGAACTTCACATGGCTTAGCTTCCAAAGCTTGATAAGGTTGGTAAAGTGGATCATTTGGAAATTTTGGCTTATCACTGACAACAATTCCCTTCACATGTTTACTCTCAACATGGGGGTCTGCAAGAGAAGAAATTGCAAATTTATTCACTCTAATAGTGACAATGAAGATTCTGAATTTCAAAAATTACCCAACTGCTGATTCTAACAATTAAATAAATGCATAAAACAAGCTCTTTCTATGAAGTCCAGAAGAAAACTTCCACATGAGCTTATTCCTGTGCTGCAATCAGACTACTTTGTAATAGAGATAAACATATATAGTGATCCATATGAGAAGGCCAATCATCTTATCATTTCTGTTATATAAACAACTTCACGTTCAACCAGCGACATCCCTTTTCTTCTATCAATAGGCACCAATTAAATAATAGCACACCTGTATGCAAAGCATTTTCTGGAGCAGCAAATGTGTCATTTGAATGCAGTAACTGATTACTTATGTCACTATCCATATAAGGTTGTTGAAACTCTGTCAAATGAGATACTTGAAGTGGTGAAGGCACACGAGACAATACACCTCCATTGATAGAGGAATCTGGACCATGTACGTTTCCTGGATCCCCAACAAGATCAACCACAAATTCTCTGATAAAATAAACACACAAGTCAATAATAATGAACTAAAAATGAACATCAAGATCGCCAGTATTTAAACATGTATTAAATCTCCTGATCGTTGGACTTGGGCCTTTCAGAAATGTGTCATACCTGAAGATTATAATGCAAAATCGAAGCAGCAAAGGTCCACTACTTTAATCTTATTAAATACTCATGAAATCACAATTAAAGTCTGAAAGAAATGTCAAGTACGAAGTAACCAATAATGAGGTCTCAAATATTATATCAGATTAAAATATTGGAGATACATTTGAAACATAAACCAAAACCGCTAAGGAGAAAATACTTGTTGATGGTTAGAGCCTTAGAGGAGATAACTACTTTGATTGAAGAGATAGTGGATAAGATGTTTTACCTTGACAATCTTCTGTCGTCCTCAATTATTACCAGACAAGAAGACCGGTGATCTGCGACACAATACTTGCAACCTCGAGCTATCCTACAAGGCAAACCTACGTAATCTGCCAATTTCTGTATATCATAAAATCACCAGTTAAATTCAGTCTTCGAAAACCTTCCTTTCAATAATCAACTAATTACAAGAATGGTAAAATGAGAGAGCAAGTCAGAACTCTATCTCACCCTGCCAGCCTACCCACTAAACAATTACACGGGGAAAAGATATTATTTCAACTAGAATAAGTGAGCCTTAATTTCACATTCATTACTGGATAAGATCCATTATGATTATTTCTTCACAAGCTACTTTCAAGGGTGATTTTTTTATGCAATAACTTTTAATTGCCTATGGTGAGTGTCAAGCAGAAACTTTTTTGTTAAGCCGCTCAAAAGTTATGAAAACAACCTGGGTAAAACTGACAATCAATATGCCCCTTTATCGAACACCATACCGAGTTCATAATCAAGTACATAACTTCTCAAGTCCGATTGCAGCACTGAGGAAGCTAACACACTGACAAATTCATCAAAAAGGGGCAGTTGATCACTGTCTACTCACAAACTTGAAACACTTCTTGTATGGCATAGTCAATATTGCACTATAACTAGCTTCTTTCCAGTCACTTAGCACAATTCATTTGACCCTAATTAGGAAAATATTTCATCTGATTCGCAGCAAATTACTTCTCAGGTTTCGGATCGAAGACTTACTTGTTTTTCTCCTACTATACCAGTCAATGTGCAGCTAAAGTGGAACTTATGAAAAGCACCAGGAGAGGGGGAGGAGAAGCAATTTCTACATGGATCTAATTGCAAAGAATGTCAAAAAGACGATTGAGGCTTCGAAGTTCAAACATATGAAAAAGAAGTCTCTCACTAACCTTGAACAGAATAGCTCTATGCCTGCAAAGTCCTGAGGAGAAACTGCCAATTGGTAGCACAATGCACTTCTGCAGATCTTGTAATCTCTTGCTAACAGCTTGCCACCGCTGATGAAGATCACCTTGTTCCACCGGAAAAGAGCCCCTTAAATTTCAAGGAAACCAATATCACACACAAGAATATGAAGTCCAAAAGAGCATACTTCGAAAGAAAATCAATAAACCCACCCCATATAGACAGCGACAAGCTTGCCAAGGTTTTCTGCCAAGACTAATGTATTCTCAGCAGCAAAGTAAATTTCTTGAGCTTTATCTTCTAATTCCCTGAGCATTGAATCCCCACGCCTATCAATAAGAACAACCTCCATTGATGTCTCACTGGGTTCAATCCCTTTTAATGCCATTAGAGATGGTATTTGTTTACCATCCTCTGTGGCATTACACATAACCCACAAATATGGATTCATTCCTAATATGTTGTAAAACCCATCAGAAATCTTATCAGCATAAGACAACGAACCACTCACCTGAAATTTTTTTCGCAAACTTCACCGTCAAATAATTAAGAACCCACAGGAATAAATGATAAATACTTACAGCTAAACTAATAGGAAACAGAATTATTCTCCCCATAAGAATAACTACCAGACATGTTCTTCCGGTGAAATATAAGTAGCTCAATTGATTGGCTATTGGCTACCTGAATATTTATCTAATCGGTGAGGGTTCGATTACCACCATATAATCCCCTTCTCCATTTCCGCTACTCCCAATTTTGGAAGGAAAAAAGACATGCATTTCCCCGCAGCACTATAGAGTGTGTGCGAAAGAGAGAGGAAGAGGGAGGAAAAGAAAGAGGTATATATACCCATAAACGATAAGATACAGTTTGAGCATCAGAAGATCCACCAAGGCCCTTGATATTTTTGCACTCCTGCAGAAGAATAGGCTCTCCAGAAGCAAGCATTGCTTGCTCTACAAGCTTTTTAGCGAGCGTCAGCTGCAAGTAATAGCTCTCCTTCGACTTCTGTATCAATGTATCTTCGTTATCAACTCTCTCCTCCGCATCCTGCCCCACCACTTCCTCCTCCACTTCCCTTGTCGTCGACGTCTGCGTGTCTTTAACTCCCGTACTCGGCCAGTTCCCATCCACCGTTGTTCCTGAAAACAAACTCCCCGCATAACTAGTACTTCCCCAACTCGACAGCCTTTGCAATGAAGTTTGTCTCTCAAATTGCTTCCCCACACAACTGTAATTGCTTCCACTACTCGATAACCTCTGCAATGAAGCTTTCCGATCAAATGTCCCCTGCTGTTTCTGCTCTAGCGGTGCCACGTGGCAATCAACCTGCAATTCATGTATCGGTACAGCTTCAGGTGGAACAGGTAGCAAAAGTTCATGTTCATCCTCTGTATCTCCATCATCCAATTTGATCTTCACGTGATTCCGTATCGATTTCCCTTTCTTATTTTTCTCAGTCAGCCAGTTCACAAAAGCAGCCAACTGCTTCCCGTGAATCTTATCACGGTTCCCGTACGAAAACGTAGCATCATCATTATTGTTATCAGTCTCTTTCACATCACTTATGAGCTGTTTCGACGCGACAACATCTCTCTCTTTCGAAGAAGATTTTCGATCTTCAACGTCACTGATCTTCTTCTCCTTCTCCTTCTCGTGATCATTAACAAACTTTGCAGATGCATCCAACCCACGATCAGGAAATTGCCTTGGAAAAAAGTAAGTCGTTCTATGCGGCATTTTTTCACACCCTCACGTGAACAAAAATCTCATCCAACCAAAAAAAAAAAAGTTCCCACCCGCCCGCACGCTTCCTCAACTACTTTCACCTTTATCAAACCCAAACTCCGATCCACCGTACAACCGCCGGAAAAAAAATCCGATCACCAACAATATCAATCAAAACACATTCTACTCAACCTGATCACGTTTCAACAGCTCAACTATGTTATCCCTGAATATATGAAACCAAACCGAACCAATCCACTTATTCTGCTTTCTGCTAACTAGTTGGAAATAAATTTCATATAGCAGATATCACCATTTTCATATAAATCAACAGAAAACTTATAAGTAATCAAAAAAAAACGATATGAATGCGCTTTTCCCTTGAAGTTATCAATTTGCAACAGAGCAGAAGCAGACAAATAGCTTTTAAGCAAATAGATTTTTCGGCTTCTGCAGAGAGAAAAAAAAAACGAAACAGAAGTTAAGGGGATGATATATTTTAAGCGTAGAGTAAAAAAGAACTATAAATTGGGTGGGAAATTGGAAAATAAATAAATTAAAAGAGTAGAGAAGCTAATGTGCGCTGAAGGGTACAATGCGCGCCATATTATAAAAATGAACACGTCAGAGTTAACGGCGACATGCAATCGACACGTGGATAAAGTGACGGTGAGTGCGCACTGTTCACCCTGGCGTAGGTTAGAGAGCAGTAAAGACGAGGGTTCTGTTAACAGAATTAAAAAATGGTGGCAAAAAGGAACCCAATAGAGCGTTAATAGGTTGTAAGACTCATCCAATTTTGTGATTGAAGCAACTATATCTTATAATTATTACTTAAAATAATATATTTTTTTAAATAATTTACGTGATATTATTTGATCTAATAAAATTTAAAAAATAAGTAAATATTTTATTTTATTTGTTAAATTACTTTTATTTAATAGTAAAAATTCAGGATAACACGTCGTCGCAATCAACCTATCAACTTACTTATCGTCTCTATCTTTAGGTGAATATTTTGTGATAAGCATTTTGTGCAATAGTCTAACAATCATACGAGTGATGCAAATCGTAGTAGATAATAACTATCTCCATCTCATTTCATATATCACCTTTCGAATTTTAAGAGTTAAATAAATCTATCTTTAATCATAAATTTTTTATAAATTTTATAAACATTTTGAATTATCAATTATTGTGACTCATAATATTTTTTACGTAATTTACAAATATATAAATTTCATTTTTACAAAAATTTAAAATTTTATGCATAAATTTCTGATCAAACTTAAACTGTTTGACTCTCAAGACATAAAAGGTGTCATATAAATTAGAACAGAGAAAGTATTATATAGTTGACTCAGTTCAGAAAAATTACCCTTCAAACTAACTAAATCGTCCACGTAACGATATATATATATATCATTATTTTAAATTTCTAAGTATTTAAATACTTTTAAGAGTATAAATAATTAGTAATACAATTTTATATAATTGATGAGTTTCTATTGGTTTTAATTTCGGCTGGGCATGTGACGAGTGCAGGGGAACCTGTGGATTACGTTGTTACAGCTCAGTGATTTAATAATAGTACTAATTATGTTTCAATCTAAAAAAAATTTTAAAAAAATTTCTTATTTTAATATTATAATGTCAAAAATACAACTAAAAAACACTATAATGTTTTTTTATATTGTTTAGCTTGAGATTAAAAACATGCGTAGAAAGTATACCTTTAAATAATATTCAGATATTTAAATAATTATTTATTTCAATTAAATATTTATTTGTATAATCGATATTTATTTCAATTAAATTAAATTATAAACTGTCTGGGTTAGAGAGTTCATGAATTAGAAACTGGTATAATAGAATATTAAAATACTCACTGGTTGAGTATTGCGGTGATTTTATTGGGTTTAAAAAATAATATATTACCCCCTACATATTTTGAAAATGAAATAATTTTTTTAATTTAAAATAAATGGAATTATCACATTCACGAATATTTTTAAATATATTAAAAATTATCCTTCGCACTATAATTATGATATATTATTTTTAGTAACTACAAATTGAGTAATGATATTAACTAAATTCCATACGTGTCTTTTTTGTTTCTTCTGGTTTTCAAAATCTGCCCATTAAATTTCATGGTATATTTCTTTTATTTTATTAGAGCATAGACTAAAAGTATCTTAATACACTTCATTATTTATATTGTATTAGTTGTATAAATTTTAATTTTTATATTATTAGTATAAATTTTTGAAAAAAATTCAACAACTATTGGTATTTCGTGAAGTTCTATTTTCGTTTTATATTTATACGTTTAAAGTCTAATTATTTATCCTAAATTTAAAGATTTCAAGTTAGGTCAAAGTGAAGGTTATGATTAATATACATATGACATATCGTATCGATCGAAGAGGAAAAGTCCCCAGTATCTTAGAATTATGCAAATCTCATATAGTAGAGTTGTAAGGATATTGAAACTATAAAAGAGGAGGTGTACATAACACCGAAACAAACTTAGGATAAGAACATGAGAAATACAGGGTATAAAACAGATATTATATCATAGTGACGTATTTTAAAGTCATATGAATTTAGATCAAGAGCGAATAATAGTACTAACGTGTTCAGTACTTATTACACCAAGAGGAATGAAATTGAGAGTGGGGTTATATAAAATCTAGTGAAAGTGACGTTGAAAGATAAAATGAGGAAGATGAGGCTGAAATAATTTGAACGTATAAAAAAATAATCGTAATACATAAATAAAAAGATATAAATGACTCGAATATCATTTGTATTTTATATGATATTCTTTAAGTAATTAAGCCTAAAATTATCACTAACATATACGGAGAAAAAATCTTATTTATATCTTTCTTGAAAAAGAAAATCTATGTTCTTGAAGTAACAAAATAGTGTGTAAAATAGAATTGAAGTTTTTTAAATATATTTTATTTTCTATAAAGAGAAAAAAAAAAGTTAACTAGAAGTGATATTACGCACTATTATTCTACCTAAATTTTCTTTCAAGAAAAAATGTTACCTACACGTAAAATTGGCTTAGCCCAGCTTTTTATAATTTTATTTACGCTTTAAAAGATATCAAATAATTCTAAAGAAAAAATGTATGATGAAAAAAAAAAAGGTTAAAAATTTAAAATCGAGATGTTCGGTGTAAGCTTAATTTTAAGTTTTCTAATTAATTATAGTAGAATGGTAAATTCAATTTTAATTTTTTAATGAAGAATATAGGTGAAGCGCGATTGATATTTGAATAATTAGGAATCTTTTTTTATTATTATTAATAAAATTCAAACTAAATATTTTTGTCTCGCATCATTATTGATCATTGAGAGGTTAACAATATATCTTCACTTGTCAAAAAATAATAACATTCATTTGATCTTGATCTTTATGAATTGAAAAATAGATTAATTTAAATTCGATCCTTTTTATACTATTTATAAACAACTTGTTTTGATAATAAGTAAATATTCAAGTGAATGATATATAAATATATTTTCGAACCTTCTTAGAATATATACTATATATAGCCGAACTCGTCATTAGATAGTGATTTTTAATTAATATTCAAAATAATTTATAAATAATTTTTTTTTGCCAAAAATAGTAAGAAGAGTATAAAAAATATTACTTTCAAATACAAAATTATTTAAAAAAAAAAATTGCTAAAAAAGAAGTATCAATAGTAAATTATAGGAGTAATTGGTGACCCCCATGTGGATTTCTGCAAAAGAGGAACTAAATAAATATTAAACAAACAAATAAATATGCATAAAATAAAAGAATTGCATCTGGCTTAAATCCTGGAGCTAACTAAATTAATATGATTGGAATTGGGTATTGCTTGACTGTTGGAAATTCCAAGAGTTACCTCTCTGAAATTTTTTTATCAGTTACGATAGTTCATATTGAATCGCGATTAAATTTAAATTTATATTAATAAATTTTATGAATTTATATTAAATGCAATTAAATTTACATCAATAAGTTTCATAAATCGACATTTGAAGGATGAATGTAGTGGCGTAGCCATCTTTATGTCAGGGTATCCAATTGGACACGTTTCGTCAAAAAATTATACCTTATGTATAAGTAAAAGAACAAATAAAGTGGTTAAATAATATATTTTGGACATCCTTGACATAACTATATAATGTAGGCTTGTTAATATAGGCGTCTTGGAAGAGTAAAGACACACAAACTTAAAGTGTTCGTGTGTTCGACTCTCACTAGTTGCAAAAAGAATTTTTCGTAAAATTTCTAGCTCCGTCACTGAATAAATGCTCTCTAACAAACACCTTAATTAATACTTTGAATTCGTAATTTTAAAACTTTATTAGAAAATTTAAAAGACAACAAAAACTAGTGTATATGATATCACAAGTCAAAACCAAAGGAACAACTAACAAGTACAACTTTTTAATAAATATAACTTTTTACAATCAAATTATGTATAATAGACTTTATAGTATAATTATTTTTCCAAACTTTACGCATAGTAAAAATTTATCTGTATCGAATTATTTTTTTAGACTCAATATATTACTGTAACGACCTGTTTAGTCGTTTTGAGCAGCAGATTTTATTTTTGGAAAAACAGGCTGAGACGACGGAACCCACAACGGAACGTCATGGGCACGACGGACCGTCGAGGGTGTCTCGTCCCAAAACACTTAGAAATTCTGAAATTTGGGTGCTGAAATCGACTCTCTGAACTCTGTGACGGACCTGCAGGACGGACCGTCACAGGCACGACGAACCGTCGTGATCCACCGTTTCAAAACACTTCAACTCTTGAGAATTTGGTACAGGGAACGATTCTCTGAACGTCGTGACGGAAGTGCAGGACGGACCGTCGTAGGTACGACGGGTCGTCACAGACTCCTTAAGGAAATCGAGTCTCTGACGAACCTGCATGACGGACCGTCGCAGGTGCGACGGGCCGTCACAGGTTGCGTAATCCCAGTTGAAGTCGGAATTCTGGTTAAGTTTTAAAGGGGCGTTTTGGACTATTCCTGCTATAATTATATATTTCGTGGGTCTATATTAATAACTCAATTTCTTGGGGGATAAAAGAGGTAACCTTAAGTTAATTAGTGGGCTATTATTGTCATCTTTTATTCTTAATTATATACTAATTAGGGTAAAGGAAAGAGGGTTTGAATAAAGAAAATAGAAAGAACAAGAGAAAAAGAGAGAAGGGAATCGATAGAGAGAGAGACGATTGAGAAGGGGAAAAACACAAAGCTTTGGAAAATTTGCTTGCTTGATCACGAATCTTTGGTGGAGGTAGGTTATGGTTTCTCTTACGATATTCGTAGTAAACTCTTAATAGAGAATGATATGTATTGATAATATTGTAAACCCTGCTATGTGCTTAATTGTATGCTTGCATGAATGTAATTATATAATTGTGATTATATAAGCATGATGAAGTTATTGAATCCCAAATCTTGCAAAATCCTAATCTCTTTGTTAATAA